CATAAGCCCCCATAGGGCCCTGCCTTCCAGAATCACACCCCCTCCTCCAGGTCCCTGCTCCTCACGAGAACCACGATTTCATCCAGGTGTTGGGGGTGAAGTTGTGAGAGACTGCCACTCACTGGGTTCCCAGGAGAGAGCCGTGGGAAGCAGGCTCCCGGCGCGGTGGGGCTCAGCCTGCAAAGGCTCTTGGAAAACCAGGGTTTGGGTCCCCCAGCCTTGCATCTTCTGCTCCGCGGATAAACTGACAGAAGACCAGTGGCTCGCACGTCATCCCCGGGGGCAGGCGAGGGGTGCTCCTGCAGGACGTGTGCCCGGGACTCAGTCCACCCTGCCCTCCACACACCTTGGCGCACAAGGGCTTTCCAGGGCCTCTCACCGGCCACTGGGCCTCCCCCCCCACCCCCCTGTGGGGCAAGTGGAGTCACACTGGGGCCCACAGCCCTGTGTGCTTAGTGACAGGGTGGGACAGAGCACAACTATCCCAGTGCCTTTCCTAGGCTGTCACACACTCGCCCCCACCTCCACCCCCCCTCCGGAAGGGGTTCCCGGGCAGAGGAAGCTCTGGGCTGCTGGCCAAAAGGCTGATGGTTGGACCCACCAGCTGCCACTTGGGACAAAGACAAGCCGTCTGCTCCCATCAAGTCCTGGGGACCCTCTGGGGGCACTTTCACTCTGTCCTGTTGTCACTCTGCGTTAGAACAGACTCAATGGCCGTCGGTTTGGCTTTTGTGTCTTTATGGGAGCAGAGCACCAGATCTGCCCACACCTGACTTCTCTGTTAGCAGACAAGCACTTAACCACGGTGCCACTAAGATCCCAGCATTAGAGGAAAGGAGATCATTGATTTGAATGTCCACACCTGACTTTTCTGTTAGCAGACAAGCACTTAATCACGGTGCCACTAAGATCCCAGCATTAGAGGAAAGGAGATCATTGGTTCAAGTGTCCACATTGCCACCTGGACCGGGAGCTTCTCCCCGTGACTCAGGCCCCCCAGCAGCCCATGCTGCTCCCAGCCCTGCTTTCTGGCTTCCACAGAGCAAGCTCATGCCCACCTCAGGGCCTCTGCACTGGTCCCCCCTCCTCCTGATAGGCTCTCCCACCACCATCTCCTTCCCTGACCACCTTGCTAAGGCAGATCCCGCTCTCTGCCTCTCCCTCACCTGCGCCCCTGTCATGGTGCCCTGGTTTATCCAATCTGAGACGATCCTGCTTTCTGGTTTGTCCACTCACCTTCGGCCCCCTCCCAGCAGCCCTCAGCCTCTCTTCCTGGCTGCATCGCCAGGGACCAGCCTAGCGCTTGGCACACTGCCCGTAGCTGTTGTAACTGGTGGCGAGTTGGCCCTGACCCACGGCAACCCAGGTACAGGGGGGCCAGACGGCCGTGGTCTGCTGGTTCCTGAAGGGTGCTCTTAAAGGTTGGTGGACATCTTAGGCCTGAGTTAGGTCCTAGGGGTTCCTGAGTCTACCTCCCCACTGAGAAAACGGAGGCTCCGAGAGAGAATGCGAATTCCTCATGGATGCCCAGAAAAGAGAGAGTGCAGCTAGGAGGAGAGCCCCCTTCGGAAGTCACTGGAGCCATGAGCCACCACTCCAGGCGTCCCTCACTGCTGTCTGAACCCTGCTGTGCTGGCTTTGAACTTCCCATCCTCGGGGCTAACGCACATGTGGAGAGCGGGAGTGTCCAGCTCTGTGCAGCGTACAGCTGGCCACCCTGGGGATCTGAGCTCTTTGGACTTTCTCTTTGATGCCAACCTTTTCATCCGTCTGCTTATCTCTGGAAGCTCTGCCAACTCCTTGCTCTGGGCTCCTTCCCCACCTCCCCAGGGTGACCGCCTGTCCAGCTATCCCTGGGCACAGGGAAAGGCCCGTCCCCTGGGGCTGCCAGGAGTCACAGCGCTGCAGCCCAAATGGAACTTGAGCTCACTTCTGAGAGCAGAGAGGCCCGGCTACTGTCTGACCTTCAGAACAAAGGGGTGGGGGGCCTTGATTGGGCCCTGGGGAGGACTTTAGTGCATGCACACAGGCATTGCGACTTGAAAGGACTTGAGGCTGCTCACAGCATCTCCCTTACTTCCTGCTCCAGGACCTTCTGGAAAGTTCTTCTGTGAGAAGGCCCCTCCTTCCGGAGGGCAGCGTGTGCAGTGATTAACAAAGTGGACAGAGACCACCCGGTTGGATTGCAGCCTGGCTCCTTATTCCCTGGGTGACCCTGAGCAGGTCACCTCCCCGCCATACGCCTTCAGGCCCTCATCCAATAAGTGTTTAGATTTCTCACGCGATTGTGGGGAGGGTATGAGAACAGCACTTGCCACGTGGTGAACATTATAAAAGAGCTAGGGCTCCCAGCCCCTGTTGTCGGCATTGCAAGATCAGAAAGAGGACAGGGAGAGGACCCTCAGTGCAAGGGCAGTGGATTAGCCAGGCACAGTGATGGCCTAGGGCTCTGAGGGCCGGGGTTCGAATCTGACCGACCCCCTGGGTCACCTCATGGGGCAGCTGTGAGGTGTGCTAACGCCGGCACCGTCCTGGACTGGGATAACCTGGTTGTGGGGAGGCCAGCAGGCCTGCCTGCATTACCCAAGTTGAGCTTGGTGCAGTTGCCGTGGGTCACCGGGCACTTGTAGACATCGCCTGTCTTCTGGTGGCCATTGATGTCCAGTGGGGCGCCCACGACCAGCCTGGGGAGAGAGAGAGAGAAGTGAAGCCACTAGGGGTGGGGGGCATAGTTCTTCCTGCCAAGAACCTGATGGCAGTTTGAGGGGGAAACTGGCCGAGGAAGGTCTGGCGGGGAGCCTGGAAGGGTGACCTCTCCTCCAAGCCTAGTCTCTTGTCTCCGGGGAGGGAGGCATGTCGGGCTTTCAGGAAGAGGCATGGGGTCTGTGGCCTATTTCAGGGTCTGGAGATACAGAGGTGAAGGTTACAGGGCCCTTTCAACACATGGGATGGAAGCAGAAAACCTCGAAAGGAGAAAGAGAAGTCTCCGGTCTGGGCTAGTTGGGGCAGGCGTGAGAGAGGAGGGAGTGCTTGAGCCGGGTCTTGAAGGATGAATAGGAGTTTGTCACGAGAAGAAATGGTGGAGGGTGGTCATTGGCCTTCAGGCAGAAGGAGGATGCTTTTGGAGGTGTGGCGTCTTGGCCATCTGTCACACTCTCCAGGCGCCTCACGCCTCAATTCCTCACCATTCCTCAATGTACGCACCAGGTGCTCGGTCAGCTACCCCACGGCCACTCCCCAGCCATGCTCTTCAGTGGCCATCGCTGTCCCCTAAGTGACTAAGTCTTTGCTCTCAGTGGGTGAGGTAGTTAGTTTATTGGGCCAACCTGGCCAATAAGCACATGTGGGGCTAACTGAAGGGCGGAGGGATACATGGCTCAGTGACCTCGCCTTTCGAGTTCTCAGGTCTCTTTTGCTTTCTGATGGTCGGACCAGGGTGCAGCTGCCTTAGTCAGTTCTTTGCTTCAGCTGGCAAGGCTGACTTCCTGCGAGACATCCCCAAGGAGAAGCCACATGGACCTACCCCGGTGCAGGCCTGGGTGCTGGAGCAGCCGTGTGGAGACCCCTGCCAGTGGTGAGATGCTTACACATTCACTGACTCGGCTTTCCCCCTGCAGTCGGCATCATAGTGTGTGTTTTGTGAGATGGAGGAGCACTCTGTGGATTGGTGTCGGACATATGAACTAATGTTGGACTTGTGGGCTTGGGCAGCACTGGGTTGGGATGTTTTCTTGATGTGCACTTAACCTTTATAAAAAACTCTCTCCTATACACGAGTTTCTGGGGATTTGTTTCTCTAAAGTACCCAGACGAACACAGTGGGGAAGGCAGTCAATGGGATTGAACAGTGGCCAGGGTAGCCACCCAGGACATCTGCCTTGTGCTCATGTCTTGGGTAGTGTGGGTTGATCTGGGAGCCCCTCAAAAGCCATGTCCACGTGAACATGGCCTCATTTGGGAGAAGAAGTCTCCACAGCTGTAATGAAGTGATGGACCGTGAGGTGAGGAGTTCAGCCTGGAGGTGTAGGCGGGTCCTAAATCCAGTGTGTAGGAAGCACACAGAGAAGAGACAGACAGACCGATAGAGGAGGCCATGGCCATGTGCAGACAGAGGGACAGGTTGGAGGCATGTGGCCACAAGCCAAAAGACACGTGGGGTTGTCAGAAGATGGAAAAGGCAAGTGGGTGACAGAGTCCGTCTCCTGCCGCTTCAGGAGAGTTGGGGCTGAAGAACTGCACGAGACTAAATTTCTACAGGTGGGAGCCATTCAGGGTGCAGTAGCGCGTTACCGCAGCCCAAGGAGACGAACACACATTGTTTGTATCTGTATGCACACAGCATTTAGGAGAAACTGGGCAGCACCCTCTTCCTGGCCTGGTAAGCCCCAGCAGGGTACTAGATGAAACGCCTGTGTCTCTGGGGGCACAGGCTGCAGACTCACCTCCGTTGGAGGGCAGGAAAACCACCCCATCTTTGACCGGCTCTGGCCCACAGCCCCACACCAGGCCTCGTCTCTCACTCACCTGTAGGGCAGCACTGGCTAGGTATTCTAGAGTGGCACAAGGGCCAACAGGAACCCCAGTGGTGACTTGCAGCTGCTCTCTTCCTTTGAAGCTGGCAATGTTTCCCTTCAGTATCTGCCTGCCCGCTTGGTCTGTGTTGGGTGCCTCTAGCATGTCTAGAGCCTGCTAGGTTTTGAACGCCAGTTCAGTTCTTAGCTAGCAGCTACCGCCTCTGTTCAGGCCTTCATAGCTTATAGCATGCACACAGACAATGTTCTACAGTCTACTTTGGTGAGAAGCGGTGGGGGTCTTAAAAGCTTGTGAGTAGCCATCTAAGACACAACTGTTGGTCTCCCCCATTTGAAGGCAAGAGAAGTGAAGACAATTAAAGCCAAAGGAAACAATTAGTCCAATGGAGTAATAATAGACCACAGTGAACCCCAGCCTCCAGGCTCCTGAGACTGGCAGAACTAGATGGTACCCTGCTCCCATCTCTGACTGCTCTGAAAGGGATCACATTAGAACGTCCTAGATTGAATAGCAGAAAAATGTGGAACAAAAATCATCATCATCATCATCATCATCATCATCATCATCATCATCATCCCCAAAACCCAGGCCTACTGGCAAGACTATAGACTGTAGTCACCCTTCAATTCTGAAGCTAAATTCTCTCCCGTGACTGAACTTTCAGCCAAACAACAGATAGGCCTGTAAGGTGAACAGGAACACCTAGGAGGTGTGCACTGCTCGGAACAATCAACCCTCCCGGATCAAAAGGGCAGCGTGTGCCCAGGGATAGAGCTTAGGAGGCAAGGAGGGAAAGAAAGATGGATGGGAGGGGCAAACCCAGGGAGGAAGTTGGAAGAGTGCTTTATATTGTAAGGATTGCAATCAGCGTCATCCCCAAAATGTATATGAATTGCTGACTGGGAAACCAATATGCCTCTGCGGAAACTTCCACCCAGATCGGAACAGAGGGTTGAAAAACCAAACCCAACCCCACAAATTAACTCTAAAATGAGACTCACTCCCATTCTGTTGATTCCTAGACATAGGCCCCCGCAGGACAGGGTACCACTGCCCTCATGGGTTTCAGAGATGGTCACTCTTTGTGGGAGTAGAAAGCCTCACTTTTCTCCAGCACAGCAGCTGGTGGATTTGAACTGCTGACCATGTGATTTGCTGCCCAATGTGTAACCCACGATGCCACCAGGGCTCCTTCACACAAATTAAAAAAACCAAACAAAAACTAGATACACTGCCATTGAGTCCATGCCGGCTCACATCGACCCCGCAGGGTAGAACTGCGCCTCAGTGGGTTTCTGAGCCTGTGACTGTGAAGGAAGCAGAAAGCCCGTCTCTCTCCCTCGGAGCTCCTAGTGGTTTCCAACTGCTGACCCTGCGAGGTACAGCCCGATGCACAACCACTACACTACCAGGGCTGCCACGACACCGACTGACATCTTCGTAAAAAAGCCGAAACTGACGTGATGGCTAACAGGGACTGAGGCACATCCACCCTTCCCTTACACGTCCCTGCATTAGACAGCTCTGGAATCTTCCCGGACTCTGAGGGCAAGGAATAGAGGTGGTGCAATCTAGGGCAAACAGATCAGTGAGAAGTTTAGGAGCCAGGAGAATTTTCTGGAACCCTTGAACCCTGACCTTCCAGTACCTTGGCAACATGGCCCAAAGAAGCAGCAGCCCTTCATTTTCGGACTTGAATAGTTGAGAGGAGACAGGGGCCAAGGCTGCCTGAGACTCCAATGGCTTCTTGTGGTGAAGCAACCCCCTTAGTCCCTCAGCCCCTCCGGGCCCCCCTCAGTGTTGTCAGGAGAGAGAGCCAGGTCTGAAGGGGGAGTTAATCGAGTTTGGTTGGAAATTAAGAGTCTAGGAAATGAGAGCTGAAGTTTCTCCCCTGGGGAGCCAGATAATGACAGATTCTAAATATAGTCCTTTATTAAATGTGCCTATTTTTGACCGACAGGAATTAATTGGATCCATAAAATCTGCGTGTCTAGACGACTTTGTGTCTTGGCTACTTAATTCTCCAAGTGATCGTGTGGTCAAGGGTCCTCTGTTCTTTGTGGCTAGCTACGAGAGAAAGAGGGGTCAGTCCAGGCCTGTGTTTCCGGCAGCCTGGGTTGTCAGGACAGGAGCAGCCCGAGATGTGACCCAGCTCCCTGGGAGGTGGGCTCTAGGGCGCCACTACCACTGGTGGTGCTTTCTGGGGAGAGTGACTTCGAGGGACATCTTGCAGGGGTTCTCTGAGAAAACCAGGCACAACTCACTGTTGGAGACTCGAGAAATAATGGCTGTTTCGTGGACTAGCTGTCTGGTGAGTCTTCTCACAGGCTTTCCCAGAAGCCTAACAAGACAGAAACTCCACTCTGCTTCCCATTTTACATGGTGGGGCTCTGAGGCCCCTGTGGCCCACTTGGAAGGAACCTTAGCAACAGGGCGAGACCCTTGGGCTAAGGACCCAGTGGCTGGGCCATCATTCTGGTTCTGTTGCCTGCTTGCTGTGTGGCTTTACGATGCCATTTAATTGGCTGGGCCTTCACTCTCTTGCCTATGAAACGGGTTAACAATTCCCACCAGGCCTACTTTCCAGGGCCATTGCGGGAATTCACAGACGTTCCAAAGCACTAAGAAATACAAAGGGCTGGACCTAGGGACACTGAGCACCCAGACTGGCGGCTTCTTAGAAATCAGTGGTCCTAAGTGGCAGTGACCGCATGGGAGGACCCCTCACAGGGGCCGTAGAGCCTGGCTTTGTTCTTTCAAAGAACTTGGTGCGTCCTGAGGTAGCAGCACAGGGCTGACGGTGCCCACTTTACAAAGGCAGAAACCCAGGCCCCAAGAGGGGAGCGGAGCCCAAGCCCCACAGTTAGGTCATAGCAGGGCTGGGACCGGTCCTGCCTAGGGCCAGACTTCTCCCTGTTGCCCTGAATACTCCTTTCCGTGAAGGGGAGTCCTGGGTCAGCCCTCTGCTCCTCTTGTCAGTCTGGGGATTACGTGTGCCCGTCTGTCGAGCTTGAGGTTTTGAGGCCATGATTCAGCCTCACGGTGAGGGGGTAAGTGGCGGAAAGCAGGGAAAATGTTTGCGTCACCCCCCAGATCAGCCAAATCGCTCCTGGAGTCTGGCAGTCCCTGCCACCCTCACCCCCTCTGTGGC